CCTCCACCGTTACACCGAAACACGTTTGGATCAACAAAGAATCCATCAACTTATTTCTGAACATTATTCCAAAGCATATTTCAAAGGTGGCTCCCATCCCAAATACCAGCTGGTCTTGGATTCTGAAAAGGTAAAGCCTCCAGGGTGAGGCCCGAGCTGCGCAGCACCCTGGCTGCTCCCCATGTCCTGCGGCTGTCCCTCTGGTCTGTCCCCGGCCTTGTCCCCCGTTGACCCTCCCTTCTGCAGGAGGCTCCACCTGCTGGCTTCCAGCAGGGGGCATCCCAGAACCAGCGATGCTGGTAAATGAATGAATGTGGTCTGAGCCATTTACACACACAGGTGCGTGCGCACGCACGCTCACACACACACACGGATTAGGTTTTCCATGATCTTTAACTTTTATGCAAAGAGCTGCTGTTTCTTGCAAAGTGATTCACAAGAGGTCTCTTTAGAAAGACCTAGCCCCCAGTGCCGACCCCCAAGGTGTCCAGGTCAAGTGGCTGGAAAAGTGGAGCGCCGAGCGCTGGCCCGACTGCCACTCGGCCGTGGGCCACCAGGCAGGCCCCATGTGTAGCCTGGGTCAATCAGAACCTGCGCTGGAAGCAGTGACACATCATGGAGGAAGACGCAGCACCTGACTTTTTGGAACGGCGCCTCTGTGTAAGGGAAGTTGTACAAGGGTTTGCAGGTGGGTCCCTGCTGGAATGAGCACACCGCCCAAGGAGACTGTGGGTGCGTTACTCCTCAGCCCCGGCCACCTTCGCAGGCAGCACTCTGAAGACAGACCTCCTACCACCCCTTCCCCAGTCCTCAGTCAACCTCGAGGAGCAGACAGAGCTGAGGTGGTGGCCAACAAGGCCTGTTGCACATCCACAGACACCCTGGAGAGCAGAGGCTGTGTGCCTGGGGGTGGGGATGGTACCCAGGGCCCATGCTTGGGGGCGCTCTGTGGGAGGAGCAGCCCATCCATGGAGGGGACCCCCCAAAACAGCACCTCCTCACACTGAGAAGCCCCGTCTCGTCACTGTCATCTATTCGTGAGGCCGAGGGCCCAGGGCAGCCCTCTCAGCACCTGCCCTCTGAGCAGGACCTGCAGACGGCCAGTGGACACACTCCAGCATCAGTAGAGGGTCAGCGAGGCACCCCAGGGCTCCCCTTGCCTGGGGGTTGCTCAGGCCCCTCGCGAGGACACGGGAGCACAGGCTCTGGGGCGGCAGGCAACCCGTGCCCTCACACCCTTGTGGCTCATCCAGGGCGGAGCTCTGCCCAGGGTGGCACTTTGTTTTTATGGCTCTTGCAGGCTCAGAGTTCGTGCTGACGAGCAGGACACAGAATTGCCTGCAATTCGATGGGCCGGCAGAGCTCACAGCATGTGTCCTAGCATGCTAGTGACATGGCAGGACGCTGCTCCTGACAGACATGCTCCTTTTCCGAGGGGACAGGGACCCACACGCCTCATCACCCTGCCCTCCCCTGGCACCCAGCTCTGCTCTGGACGGGCCTCGGCCCTGCTGCGGATTCAGGTTGCCCCCTTCCCTCCCGCCAGCATCCCTGTCTCCTCTCCCTCACTGAAGAGCCGTCACGTTGGAGGCCCTTCACGGGTTTGTGTGGACAGAAGGTTCTTCTAACGCTTTAACCACCAATGGTGAGTCAATCCATTCTGTTAGGTTTGAAAGGCTTTTAAAACTGAGAACACCTAATGTATAAACCATTAATAGTTAATGTTCCCTAAAACCTCTTCATTTGATGGAATTTTAATGGCCACATGAAAACGACTTTGACTTCGTGTCTGTCCGGGTGGGCGCTCATTGCCAGAGCCGTCTGTTTACCCAGGGAGGGCGGCCGGCACCAGAGCCCAGGGGTGACCCAGCTCCGGCCTGAGAGCACCCCGCAGAGGCCGGAGGCTGGGCAGACCTACCCCTGGGAGTCGACGGTCTGCTTCGCGCTCAGCAGCACCCGCGACAGGGAGGAGAAGAGCCTCAGGCGCATCTGTGGGTCTCTGGCTGGCTGGAGGCAGCTCCTGAGGATGGGAACGAGGTGGGGCAGCACTTCTCCCAGCGCTGGGCCTGGAAAACACACACACGGTACCCACAGTTCCTGCTCGCGGTCAGCGGGCCCCACCACAGCACGCGGGCTCGGGAGAGGGGCCGTCAGCACAGGCGGAGCCATGGCCTGTCCCACCACCTTCCCCTCCTTTTAGATCGTGGATGTCATTGTAAAAGAAAACATTTAACTCCCAAAATCATGCTAATCATTCCATATGGAAACTTATTTCCTTATATTTTTTCCAGATTCTTAAAAAAAAATTCAAGTCAAGCAATATTTTAAACATCAACTAAAATAAATTATTCAGAACACGTAAGGTGTTTAATATTTGCCCCTACACTTGGCAACCATCGCTCTTCTCAAGCTTGCTGCTGGGTGGGCACTGGTGCAGGTCTCCCCAAGCTAGCAGGGGCCGAAGACACGCGGAATGACCCTCAGTATCTGGAATCACGCTGAGTCGTGATTGGAATAAACAGTCCCCGGGGTGTAGACACGCACTCTGATCGCATGGACATGGGTCATGGAGCGCCGCCCAGACAGCCCCCCCCGCCCCCGCCGGCATTCCACAACCAACAGGGCCACTCCCGGCCACCCTGCTCATTCTGCAACGAGCCTGAGAACAAGCAAAGCAACTGGGGTCTTCTCAGATGCTCCAACTCAAACCCGGCATCAAAGCTGCAAGATGGAAAAGCAAGGGGCTCCTGGGTGGCTCAGTCAGTGAAGCGTCTGCCTCCAGGTCAGGTCATGATCCAAGTCCTGGGATCGAGTCCCGCATCGGGCTCCCTGCTCAGCAGGGAGTCTGCTCCTCTCTCTCCCTCTGCCGCTCCCCCTACTTGTGCTTGTGCTCTCTCTCTGGGTCATAAATAAATAAATAAAATCTTAAAAAAAAAAAAAAAAAAAGATGGAAAAACAAGGCCTTTCGTTAACCTGAGGCCAGGTGTGGGTTTCGGGGAAGAAAGAGAAACAAAACCAGACAGGACGTTGTGGCCTAGGAGCAGGACACCTCCAGCTCGGGTGAGCGCCAAGGGCTCACACACCCTGTGGTGTATTTTCCTTCAATATCGCACAGAAGGCCAACGTCCAGATGATTCTCACTGGAGAAGGACGGCAGGGTCATTCAGGAGTAGTTACCAATCTACTGCTTTCTCACAAAACACAGAGAAAATGCACCAGCAAAAGGACAGAGGAGTTTCCGTGAACGTCTTCCTGCCCCTCCTGTAAACACACTTCCAGCTCACACACGGTCTCCTCTTTACCAGCTGGGCACCAAAAATGCATCATTTTTAGCATGTCAAGTCTTTTAAACGCTCTCTGTAAAAATGAGAAAAAAACCCATCCAAACTACAGGGCGTTTGTCCGCACTAACGGTATAAAAAGATGGGTAAATCTGAGCTCCGGCAGAAAGTCCTTAAGGACTGCATGGCCCTGGAGAGCTGAAGAGCAATACCCATGACCGGCGTGTGCGGGCATGCCCACACCTCCCAGGTCGCAGGGCATCTGGAAATGAACCCCTCCAGAACACACAGGATGCTATCAAACAAAGGGAGCAAATACACTATATTTACACTCTGAGAGAACACTTGATTCATTGAAGGTAAAGTGCAGAGTGGCCGGGCCTCCCCCAGGCCATCTGCTGCCCCTGCTGTGGCCAATGGCCCAGCTTTTCCTGATCAGCCCCAACAGCATGTGGGTTTGCAGCCTCTGGCTGCTTTCTAAATTGGGGAGGGAAGCTGCTGATCAGGGTCTGAGAGTAAGTTTTGTTGTTTTTTTTCAAGAATCATCTTTTAGAATGAAGTATGTCCAGTGAAACCTTCTCCACGACTGGTCCGAGAGAGGAATTTCTACAAGGCAGGGAGGAGGCATGGGTGTGAGCATGAGCTTTGCCCAAGGAAATGTTCTTCCATCATCCCTGCGGCCTGGCGGGGATGGGCGTGGGGGCCCACACAGAACGCCCGTTTGCTGCGCTAAGTTCAACAACGCTGAGGCATCCCTAAAGAACACGGGCTACAGAGGAGGAGGCCTTGAGAAATCACACCTTCGAGGCTTAACATCAAAACCATTTGCCTGCCAGACTTTGAAGATCCCTGTTACATACAGTCTTCAAAAATAATGTTCTTGCATTTTTAAAATTAAGGTTTCGGTTCTCAAAATGCTGGTTCCCATGGGCCGGAGAGACTGAGTCACCCACGGTTCAGCTGGCTTGTGGCCTCCTGGTTCAGCTGGGAGCCTCCTGGCGTGGCCTGAACCAGTCTGGGCGTGGCGGGAACTCACCTGCGTGGGTGACCACGACGTTGAACTGCAGGAGCTCCACGGAGTGGATGGTCCAGTCATGGTGCGAAGCCGCCACCCACTCCATGAGGGGGCCCACGTGCTCTCGGTAGAGATCCTGGCTGCCGTCCACATCCTGCACTGCGGCCAGTGCGTCCATGGTCTCCTGAACCTGCAAGTGTGAGCCACAGGCTGGGAAACCCCGCTCTTAAGGCTCAAAAGCCCCGTGGAGACCCATCCTTATCATCAGAGAGTGAGAGCGGCTCAGGCCAACCGGAAACACTCCACCGGCGAGGAAGCGTGACATGAGCAGCCCCTGGAGGGCCTGCTGTGGTGAGGATGGCAGGAGCCCGACTGACAGCCACTGTGCACACTGCGTCAATGCCATCTGGACAACAAGTAACAATACGGACAGACATGTGTTTAGGAGAGATTCAGCCACCGTGCCCTCATTCTGCACAATGCCAGGGGCGCCTGGGGACAGCAGGCTTCCTGGGAGACCGCCCTCTTCTGGGGGTCCGCATTCCCCTCTGCGGCGGGAGAGCTGGGCGCCAGGTGGCAGCAGGGCACCGGACTGAGCAGACATACACAATGCTGGCCTGAGGTCACCATGTGACCGGGCCTTCCGGTGGACACAACTGCCCTCTGGGGGAACAGAGGGCAAGGGGACAAGAAACAGGCCAAGAGCCATCCTCCCAGCCTGCGACCTGACGGCTGGCCGGTTTCCTTCGCTCGGGTCCCAGGCACGCAGCTCTGTTTGTGGCCCTGTACTGACAAGCGGCCTGCTAAGATATGTGCCCTTTGGAAAGTTTTTTTTTTTTTAATTAGGTGGGGGTGCACCGTTCCTGGAAGTACTGCAATACCAGGTGCATACGTGGAGTGGACAGCGCAAGCTCCTATTCCATCTTCCTGCTCCAAGAATCCATTCAATATATTGTCCTCGGATAGAGAACCTATCAGATATTAAACTGTTAAGAACAGACACTACACTTGATCTTAGCCAAAAGGCTGAGAAGCGATGGAAAGGTTGTTTTTACAGAGAGAAAACAAAGTTTGGAGGCCCAAGAAAGGAGAGGGAAGGCAGAGGGCCTCCTGGTTACGGGGTCCCATGACGTGCCCGGGCGCCTCTCCATCACGCGGGTCAGCCCCTAGAGATCCGCCCGCGGCTGGCGAGAGAGAGCCAGAACGAAAACCACACTCTCCTGGAAAGGTGGCAAGACACCGGCCTCCTGATGGTCCCAGAGCCCGAGGGAACCTGGACATCAGAGTTTTTAAAGCTCAGACCCAGAGGGGAAGAAACAGAAGTAACTCTGCAAGGCTGGCCCGTGATTAGACAGGAAATCACGATGCCATCTTCCCTCCGGGCTGTCGGTCACATATGTGTTTAACCACAGGCCAGAGGTGAGGATGGGCTCCTGTCCTGTCCGCCTGTCGGCAGCTGTCCTGACCTCTGTGACACAACGAGAAGCAGGCAGCTGGGGCTTTTCCAGAATCCTGGGCACGCCTACGGCCACCTCATGAGCGACTCATCCCAAATGTCCCACACACTCCTCCACCTTGCTAGTCAGCTGAGTCAGGTGAGCCCGAGGCTTTGGACTCAGAGCAGGAGGATTTCTAGACAGTGGTTCCGTCTGCTCAGAGATGAGCACCTTCCTGAGCATGAGCTCCATCACCCACAAGGCAAAGCGGGGGTTCCCTGCCGCCTCACCTTGTCGCTGAGGCCCGTGGCACCCGAGAGGGCCATGACGGTCACCAGCACCTCCATGAGCTGTAAGCTGCACCCTCTGCAGTCTTCCTGGCACACAGAAGCCAACGTCCGCACGCACAGCAGTAGGTGCTCCCCATAAAGGCGCTGTGAAGAGAGCAGGGAGCACCGTGAGCCAGCTCTGCCCCCACCCACACGCCCCCTGCCAACACCCCTTTCCCACCCCACGGCTCCCCAACCTCCCCCCCTACCCCCCCCCATCCTGCCCTCCGGCCCCAGGGCCCCCCTGTGCCGCACCCCAGTTCCCAGCTCCCTCTCCCTGCCCCAGGGCCCACACTGACAGGACACAGCACACTAGGGCCACAGATTGAAACACACGGACCACAGGAGTGCCTTCTTTCATGGAAAACTTTCATGGTGTTCTTTACCAGGGGAAACTGAACATGGCCCAAGAAAGAGATGCTTAGCAGTCTCTTGGTTACATTTAAAGACGTTCTTATGCATTAGCCACACATCCCGTAAAATTCACAAGGGAAACGACAGGGCATCTTGGAGCCACCTGCAAACACTCAGCCCTCCCAGCCCGCCCCCAAGGTAACAGAAAAGGTGGAGGAAGTGGACAGAACAGAAGCCCCAGAGCCCATGGCCACTGAGGCTGGGTGGGGGCATGTGGGGCTTCATCTGCTATGCTCTTTACTGCTATGTGTTTCTGAGTCTTTCTGTAATAGTAAGTTTAAAAAATAAAGAAATGCAATTCTGTGGTTCAGGACATGCTTCCTGATGGATGGCGACAACAAGGGGGCACCTCAGCCAGGTCTATCCAGCCAGCCGCTCACCTCCCGGACTTCAGCCTCATCAAACGTGGGGCAGAACCCCTTCCCGCCCATGTCCATATCTGCTCCTCATATACATCCCTCCACATGTGTACCTCACGTGGGTTTCACAAAGGACAGAAAGGATGGTGGTCACGAAGCAGTGGGCTGGTACTGAAGTTGTACACGCACGCGGTCTCACTAACAAGGGCCCGTGCACAGGCGGTTCTGGACTTCTGTGGCTCATGCACAAGTGACATAAATCGCAGGACTTCAAACAAAGAATTCATGCTGGATCACAGAGGAGTGTGGCCCACACACACCCGACTGCTCACGTGCAGCATGGGAGGTGGCTTCGAGCGATGGCGTCCAGCTCCCCTGGGGAAGCCAGGCCAGTGTTTAATTCACATTCTCACGTGTCCCATGGCCCGATTTCTTCTAGACCTGGACGGGCAGCCACCCAGTTTCTAAGGACGTGATTTCAGCTCATCTCTAGAACGGCCTATACTAAACGCTTATGGAGGAATCACTTTCAGTTAGGAAGGGATTCAGCTCCTGAGATGTGAGCCACTATTAGCGTGGGTGGGCTGTCGGGGCTGGCGGTCGTGGGGTGCGCCGGACCCAGAGCCAGCGAGGAGCCTCATGCTTTCACAGATGTCCCCTCCTGCGGGGAGTGCGGCACCGTCTCTGGGAAACCGGGTCTCAGTGTTCATGGAATTCTTCCCACTTAAGCAGAGAATGTTCCCTTCACCTGCACCCCAGAGGGAGACAAAGGCAGGGGGGAGGCGACAGGTTCCAAAGTGATGTCTTAGTTTCTGCTCCTGAAACCCAGCGTCATCTGAGGTTGTCAAAACTTTACGGGAGAAAGTGCTAGAGGCTGACATTTCTATGACGACTGTGCCCCTGCACTCCTGGTTTTTGCTCGTTAAGCAGGAATGAATAAATGAGCTATTCGTACGGTATCAAACTATTTCCTCAGCTCAGTTACCTGTCACAAAACAAACATTACAAAGGAAAGGATCCAATTCCCTCAGCTCAGTCCCAGGTGCAGCACTGGCCAGACACACCTGGGGAGGCACCTGCCTCGACCCCGCCCTGCAGCACAGGAGGCCCCGCAAGGAGCGGCCCAGCAGTGCCCTCGGGGCTCCTCTGTCTGGCTGACAGGGAGTTTCTACACCTCAGTGTGTTCTTGAAAGACGTCTGCAGCCGGTCCTCCCAGCTCCTGGGGAAGGACTGCAGGAAGCTCGTGCTGCTTCCCATGTCACCATGGCTGCACCAGACTCTCCTGCCCTGGGGAGAACAGGGCTGCGTCTGGTGCCTTTGCCTAACACCTGAGTGTTCGTCCCCTTTGCTAAACGTCTGAGTCTATGAGGAAAGGGGCAGAATGCGCATCTTGGGTTTTCACTGTGGCTGGTTCCTCAGCCTGAGCCTGGAACACATTGGGGGAGACACTAGGTATGATCATACTCTGTTTAAAACATCACTACAGGGATGCCTGGGTGGCTCAGTCGGTTGAGCGACCAACTCTTGATCTCAGCTCACTCAGGTCATGACCTCAGGGTCATGAGATCAAGCCCTGCGTTGGGCTCCGTGCGGGGCGCGGAGCCTACTTAAAAAAATAAAATAAAACGAAACAAAACGAATCATTACAGAAATTCTTCCCTAAAAAAACTGGAAGATGAGGAGCCAAAGGCATAATCTGAACTCTGTGGATTAGGGATTAAGTTTTCCTATAAATAATGCTAAGACATGAAAATTATATTTCCTTGCCTATAAAACTTGTAAGATCTGTATTTAAGCATGTTTGCAAAATTTCAAATTTAGCCTTTTAGGAAAAAGAAAGCTTCTGGCTCACAAATCTATGTAGAGGGATCAGAATCATTTCCAGGCCACCCTGAGTAAAAATGCAGAATTCACATGGTTTGATGATGACGTTAAAAACGGGTTTGGGAAAAGGTGAAATCTGTTAAAAGCACAAAGAGCAGGCAGAACGGTTCACCGACACTCCCTCCCTGATACCTCAGCCCCACTTCCCACCTGCCGTGCTTTGAGCGGCCTTCACGGTGGGTTTGCAACCGTAATGGGACCACTTTGCCACCCAAAGCCAGAGAAGGACCAGATGAGTCGATGCAGCTGGCCGTGCCCGGAGACGTAGCTGGTCCCCCAGCCCCAGGTTAGTCATGGCCCAGCAGCGGCTGCGGGGCCTTGAGCCTGCACCACGGGGGACAGACAAGGGGCTGGCGCAGACCCCCGTTCCCTACAGGGGAGCGGGAGGGCCACACCCAGTGCTAAGGTTACAGGGTTTAAGCCTGTCACAGCCAAACAAAAACAAAGTCCTTATTTTTTCTCTCAATAGCAGACAATTATAAATTATTCCAAATGACGAAGTCTGGCTACCCAGACTGCTTCGAGGTAGAATAAAGTGAATACCTCGTAGCCATGTGTGGATTTCCATACCCACTTCCCAGCCAAGCTCAGCAAGCTCAGCTTGCTTGTTCTGAGCACATTATGACAATGCCGAGGGACACGAGCAAAGAACCAGCTTGTGGTGGTGACGGGCTGAGGACTGACGGTGGTGGCAGGAAGGGTGCTGACCACGTGAGCCCCAGCGCTGTGGCCCCACAGCCCGTCCCCAGCATGGACCTGCCCTATCCCATACTGTCCTGCACAGTGGCCAGTGGCCACGGGGTAGGCGGCCAGCGTGAGGCAGGACTTGCCCTTTCCATGTGTTTAGTTTCAACATGAATGCCCACCAACTGGACAGAGCAGGAGGCACGCCGGTCTCCAGACAAGATGGTGTCAATGACGGTACTTTTGGGTGGAAACCTCCAATGGGCCTGTGGGGATCTACTAATAGTGATCAACAGGTATGTGTAGAAAGCCGTGGGCAGGGAGTGCCGCCCACCTCCCCTGCACGAAGGGTTAACCTCATGATGTGCTCCGCCTTCCACCCTTCCCACAGCTTACGTTTTCAGACCCCTGACAGATGTGGGGCCGGGCCAGCTCTACGGCGATGACCTTCAGGTGTGGCTGGAGGGCCTCCCGAGGGCAGCCTCGGATGACGGAAGCAAGGACCAGGAGGCCAGAGGGGGAGGGCGACTTCTTCAGCATGGACAAGATCAGCTTCAGAAACACTTCTGGGCTGACGAACACCCCAACCAGCTCTGCAGATCTGGTGCACTGCGAGAGAAGGCAGGAGGCTGATGGGTTGCCCCAGCCCTGGAGGGCCCACCACACGGCCCTCGGCACTCCTGCATCTGCCTGCCGCGCTTGCAGCCCAGCGCATAGCCCTGACTGAAGGTCCGCCCAGCGTGTGGGCAACAGGAAGCCCCCACGGCCCTCAGAGCTT